ATAAGTAAAGAAATCATTTTAGTCTTGCTACCTGTTTTGTAAAATGGCCAAATTGGTCTGCTAATCTAGGATTTAACCGGTAGTTATTGAACCAAAGAAAAGAGGAATTTCCTTGCAGAAAGGAGAAGCAAATTAAATTGAATGAAATTATGCAAAATATTCTATCACATTAAACGAAATCCTATTGAGAAGGAATTTTATAATTTTATGCCTTTTTTTTGGAATGATATAAAAAGATTTATGAAATTGTAAAATTCTAAAAAAGCGAGGCGAAAAATTTTTCAACTTTTTATCAATACAAATTAATTTATTTTCGATAAAATCTATTTCTTAAATGAACAACATTTTCCTTTATTATTATCATTATTATCATTTGTTCTCATTTTTATCACTATCATAGAAAACCTGAATGTAAATTATTTGACAGCGAAATCAATAACAAACAATTAAATTAAGGCTATTTTAACAAAAGGATCATTTATGTATTCTGTTAAGAAAAGAGGTCAAACGAAATTTTTATCATCACCGCATTCATTCTAATCATAGTGTATGAACAAAACAAATGATAGAAATCACATTCAAAATGGATGATAAATTTTAATCAAACAAATCATTAGATGTGAATTCAGTACGAATTATCAGAAGAGAATTGTTCGTTCCTTAAAATATCTTTTCGCTATTTTAGAATTAATATAAATTAGGATTAAGTTGAAAAAAAAACATATATAAATAATATTAGATATTTGCATAATATTTTGATTTTTCGAATAATTAAATGTTTGTGATAATTTTGTTTAATTGGAAAATTAGCACAAAACAAAAGAAAAAAATGAATTAAAATTTTTGAAGCGAAAAAATTTTAAAATTATTTTATAATTCAATTCATCATTATATCATTATTTCGAGACAGATAAAACAAAAGGAATGTTTTAGGAAAAACGAAGGAAAAGGTAATTTTATTGTTTAAATAATATTAAAATCTTTTAATAATATTTTCAATCTATTAAATATTTAAATTAATTTTTTCCATAATTAATTGTTATTAATAAATGAAATTTTCTTATTTCATTAAATGAACGAAAGTTTAGAAGTAAAATAGAAAACAATTTTGTTCATACATATAAATTTAAGTATTCATGACAGCCTCAATTTACTACAAGATTAAATGTAAGGAAAAAATAATGAATAATTAATAATCTTAAATTATTCAATGATTATCTGTCAATAAAGAATTATGAAAAATTGAGTAAAACAACTTTTTAAAATTCTAAAAATTATTCATAAATTTACAACAAACATATTGTTTCTTAAATTCTAAAAATTATTCAATATTTCATCCATTTTATTTTTTTAATCTTTCAATAATTTCATTTCTTAATTACTAATTATCATGCTGGCAACTATTTCATACACAACACTTATTATCAAAGAAAGCGGATTTGGTAGTATTAGCGGTATTTTCCAATTCAATTCGATCCATTTTGCAATCACTTTGATTTAGAAAAAGCACGTTTGGTAGAAAAAGCGCATTTGGTTTGATTTAAAAACGGCACATTTGGTAAACGAAAATTGAAACAATAGAAATTACTCTTTGATTTTTATGGTATAATTGAATTTTATTGGGAGAGAAAAATTTTTTGAAAGCGATCTAATATTTGATACGATTCATTGAGTTAATTATCATTTGGGAAATTCCGTATATCGTAATTAGTTTAGGTTATCCGAAAGATATATTTTAGGTTTACCGTATATTAAACTATTTTAGATTTTTCAAATGAAATTCTTCTTTCTTCCCCTTTGAACTACTTTTTATCTTATTTTTGTTTTGTTGTGTTGCTGACAGTTCATTGTAGGATGTAATGTGATTTGATTGAAAGAATTAAAAATTCAATACACAAATTCTCAATGTCTCTTTTACTGATTTTCACATTCTTTTGATTTGGAAGATTTCTTTTGTTTTAATTTAAAAAAAAATTTGCACATCTCAAAAATTTCAGGTCAACCATCAAAATGTCACAAATAAATGATTAATTGTCAGGAAAAAAAATTGTAAAGACAACCAATTATTTTAATTGGGAAAAATTTAGAGACAGCCGATTATTTTAATTGAGAAAAATCTAATGACAACCGGTTTTTTAATTTAGATGTAATAATTCCTGAAAGTAAGCTAACTATTTCAATATAATTCCCAAAATAATTTTCATAACTTTTTGCAAAAAAAGAATTGATTATAATTCTATTAATTATTCATTAAATTTTAATATTTTCAAACAAAGAAACCTTTGCTATTTAATCACAATTAAATCTTCATAAATAAATTAAGAAGAATAAATTTGTGTAAACAAAAGAAATAATTGACAGCCATTTAAATCGACAAATAAAAAATGCAACAATTTCTCGTAGAAATTACTAATTTATTTAATAAATAAAAATTTGAAATGAAAATAAAAGCCTACTAAAATTGTATTTCTAAAAGAGAAACACTTAAACAATTCCAAGAAAGAGAGAGAGAGAGAGAGAGGAGGTAAGAGATGCTAATTTTAAGAATAAAATAGCAACAAAAACAACAAAAAATATCACACAGTGATAACTATCAATACAAAATTAAATTGACCGAACAGTTTATCAAATCCTGAAATATTAATGCTTTCCTGATTTTTGTTATATTGCAATAATTATAACATCTAAATGATAAGGGAAACAAATTGACTGATAAAAATGAAATGATAAATAAAGATGTTAACAAAGTTATAACAATTGAAAAAAGAATCATTGAAAGTAAAATAATACATTAAAATGTTTTCAAATTAACTTACAAAAATGATTTTTTAATAAATTTTTGCATTCCAATTTTGATGATACTGTAAATTACAGTAATTAATTAATTAAATTATTATAAAATGTAACATTGATTTAAAAATTTCATAATTGTATTGTATATGTATGAATTAAATTATAAAGGTGAAAAAAGGAAGCTTAATTATTTGAAATTATTATATTATATAACAAATGAGTAGGTGTTATTTTTTTATTTCAAAATTAGTTTTTCGACAAATTTTGAATTTCATATAAAATTATGCTTTGATTAAAACATATATTTGAATTTTAAAATTGTTGAAATTACGGCAGTAAGATCATCATCGAATTTCTCATGCATTAAAATTGGAAAATTAGGAAATTAGTAATTTCTCAATTTAAGGTACGCAAATTATTTCATTATATTGGAATTTTCCAATTGCAAAAGTTTCAAAATTGAAAAGAAAAATCTGATGATAAGGTGGGATTGTAATTAATCTGCAAACAATTATCTTTCGTAAACAATCTCTGTGGAATTTCGTTGTTGATATAAGCGCACCAATAGCTGTATTAGAATCTACAATTTTTGAAATATCAAAAAATGATGAAATTTCGGAAGTTCAATCAGATCATAATTAATGCTAATGTCAATCTGATTTCTCATCTAAATTGAAGTAAAGCAATCTCAATACTTCAAATTAAGTAAAGTAATCTCATTACTTTAAATTAAGTAAAATGGTCTCATTACTTATAGAAAAGAAAACATACATTAAATTGAAATTTATTAAAATTTATTGAAATTTGAATTGAAATAAAAATTACCATAAAAAGGAGAAAAATCAATGCAATAATACCATAAAACAAAGAATGCATTAAATAATCCTGCAAAATTATGATAATAATTAAGCGAAAATAATTGTGCATTTCAGAAAAGAATAAATCATTCAAAATTTGAAATATTTTATCAACAACCTGATAATGCTTATCGATAAGGCTTTTATTCATTATTGTACAATTATCACCGTTAGCTTTTTGTAGAGAACATAATTGATCAGCAAACAAAATGATTGCTCCGGATAGATTTGATAGAACTGGTAAATTTATCATATTGCATGTTATCATCAATGATAACTCATTAAGATTTCTAAACAATTATCTTTCCGATCAATTTTTTTAAAGTAAAAACAATAAGACGAGTTTTAGTATTAATTTTTAGAAAGAATATTTCTTTCCTAGAAAATAAATGCATAAGATTATTTTAATTTTAGGTTATAATAAAAATTTTGCTAACTATTCTTTTCAAAAAGCCAATTTAAAAATAAGATATTCTAACATTGCTAGAAGAAAATGGAATTTCAAAAATTTCAAATTATCTGTAAATTTTACGTGATCAATTGTTTTACATTTCCATTATCCAATATATCAATTATAGCAACACCACGTGAAACGCTTAAATGACGCAAGTTAGCTTCACGGAATATTTGCACTGGTTTTCCTGGCTTACCATCAAGCAAAGTTTGCATAATATCCTCACAGGGTATTGAATATATGATAATCTTATTATCAGTTCGTTTTTTCACATAATAGAACTGCAATACTTAAATATAATTTGTGTAATTTAAAGAAAGAAGATGAATGGTAGCAATAACTTAACCTCTAACCTCATAAATTCATCATATTGGCAGTATGATCGAATGTTGCAAGTTTGAATGATATAGTTAAGTGAAAATTAAAAAATTGATACTTAAATTTTGCAATGGAAAATTTAAAATTTTCCATTATTAAATTTAATTTAATTGAAAAATTAACAATAATGGGAATTTACCGAAGTTTTTGAAAATTGAAAATATGAAAAATTATATGAAGAAAATATTATTTCTAATAAAGATTTGCAAACGGTAAAACAAACCTTACGATGATGATAAAACAAACCTTACGATGATGATAAAACAAACCTTACGGTGATGGTAAAACAAACCGTACGATGATGATAAAACAAACCGTACGATGGTGATAAAACAAATCTTACGATGATGATAAAACAAATCTTACGATGATGATAAAACAAACCTTATGATGATGATAAAACAAACCGTACGATGATGATAAAACAAACCGTACGATGATGATAAAACAAATCGTACGATGATGATAAAACAAATCTTACGATGATGATAAAACAAATCTTACGATGATGATAAAACAAACCTTATGATGATACGGATCCTCCGTCCATAATATCCTCTCATTGTTACTGGGATGAATATTTCGAAATGTATTCAATTCGAAAAAATTTAATCTACCATTTGATATAAACTGCATATAAAAACTAATACATTCTAAGGTGAAATATCCATCTGATAAAGTTATATTTCGTAGTACGTATAGCATTCTTTCATTGTTATCGAAAAGTGTTGCAATCTGCAACATTTCAAAATTTACTTCATTTTTCCTCATCATTTCATATTTCATATCCATTACATTTGATTAATTTTACATAAATATAGGCGAATTTTTTTATTCGGACATTTCCGCTCATATACTTTAAGTGATAAACAGATTATTATTATTATAATTATTATCATAATTATTAGCTTCAAAAACAACTAGCTTTTAAAAAAAACCTTAAAAAGCAAAGGTATAGGTAAAGTACGAAGTTAATTTATATTCTATTTAGCAAATGAATTAGAACAAAAAGTTAAAGTAAGTAATTTTTAAAAATTAATTATGAAGAATATTCTGGTGACTGCGATTATTATAATATTTAACTTCAATGTTGCAGATAGTTTTAATAGAAGTTATTGTTAATAATAAAGTGAATGACAAAGAGACATTTTATTATTATTATAATTATTAGCTTTTAAAAAAAAACCTTAAAAAGCAAAGGTATAGGTAAAGTAGAAGTTAATTTATATTCTATTTAGCAAATGAATTAGAACAAAGAGTTAAAGAAAGTAATTTTTAAAAATTAATTATGAAGCGTATTCTGGTGACTGCGATTATTTTAATATTTAACTTTAATGTTGCAGATAGTTTTAATAAAAGTTAATGTTAATAATGAAGTAAATGATAAAAGAAGATGATATGCGATAATCGTACTAACTACTTGTTTCTGAAGCACATTGTTACCAATATAATAATATGAACTTTCCAAATTCACATGCATATGTGTGAAAGAGCGCTTTTGTCCAGGTAATGAAATTTGCAATTGTTGTGCAATTAGATTACCTGGAAAATAGTTTTTTCTCGTCCTCAAATTAAAGGCTAATATTATAGAGATATAAATTGCAAGGATTTTCAATACTATCTCTTTGCATAAATTTTTAATGAAATTTTGGCACTAATAGATTTTCAAAACATTTAAATTGTAAATTTCACATCTTAATTATTAGTTAATTAATTTATTTATTAATAAGAATTCACAAAAGTTATTCATTTTTATGTAAAAAAATCAGTGATAAAATGATAAGTTTAATGATAAATTGCATTTTTTATGGATGCAAAAGTGAATGAAAATATGCAAATAATATTATTCTAATACCTACCATATATTCTTTTAGCTCCTAAAATTAAAACTTTTGGCACTTCGTTATCACGTAAAATGAGATGCAACGTCAAATCTGAACAATTGTACTGATTTGATAAGCCACTGAAAAATTATCGTTGCAGAAAAAACAATGAAATGTAAATACCTATTCTTTAAGAAACAAATTCCATTCTAATATTTTGATAAGAAAGTTTATTATTTTGATAACTTATCATTTTTCAGCCTTGTAAATGATAAAAGGCATAGATAGGCCCTAATTCTATCATTTATATCGTTTTTTTAATATGAAAATGAATTTGTGGTAAGAAATTATTGAAAATTTAATGACTTAAAAAAATAAATTTTCACCTCATATGAATAATACTATGATATGGACATGCATTTAATGGTGACATTTCTTCCGTTATCAAATGACAATGTGATAAGCTAATCAGCATGAACTGCTCAATACCGAATAATTTAACAAATGCTAAATTATTTTTCATTTGTAATGAGCAAACAAAATTGCCAGATAAAACAACAGCTAAGAGTAGTAATACGAACAATTCAACCATTCTTTTATCCTTCCACATCGTCTCCAATTTCTCTAAAAATGATAAGCAAATGTGGTGATAATTAAAGGATTGATTAGACTTATTATCAATAAATAGTAAGCAATATCTGACAAGTGATGAAGTCAATTGATAACAAATAGTTGATTAAGAAATAATTATTAATAATCACTATTTATTGCAAATATATCAATCATAATGATCTACAATCCTTATCACTTATCAGCTATTGAACTTTCGAAAATTGCTCACTGATAATATATTAAAGAATGTTGAACGCTTCATCAATATTTATATCTTAGAATTTTCGAAATCGATTATTTTGCATAAAACAAAATGCAAAATGTTTTCCTGATTCTTTACAAGTTATTTATCAGAA